GGGAGTGTCGGCTGAGGAAGTCGATGAGGCCTGGGTGGATATTAAAGCACGCCGCGAAGAAGCTGAAAGGCGCGAAGCTCGCGAAGAAGCTGAAAGGCGCGAAGCTCGCGAAGAAGCTGAAAGGCGCGAAGCTCGCGAACGTGAAGAAGCTGAAAGGCGCGAACGTCGCGAGGAGGCCGAGAGACAGGAGCGTCTCGAGTTGAAACGACTAGAATTGGCAATCCTACAGTGTTCGCAGGCGCCTAGCGTAGCTTCTCCAACAGTTCATGTCAGCGGTTTTAGAATTCGGGACCAACTGCCACCGTTCGTAGTAGGCGAGGACATGGCGAAGTATCTCGTCAAGTTTGAACACGTCTGTGAGCGAAACGCTTTGGAGCGGCCTTTTTGGGCGCGGAACCTGCTAGCTCTTCTTCCCGGCGAAGTGTCCGACGCGATAACTTGCTTGTCGAGGGAAGCGTTTGAGAGCTATGACGAGGTTAAGGAAGTGCTCTTGAGACGTTATAAGTTGTCACCCGAGGCTTTCAGGCAAAGGTTCCGGTATGCTAGAAAGGGGAATGAGTCACACGTTGACTTCGCGTTTCGTCTTAAAGCCGATTTGATTGAATGGCTCAAGGGCGAAGGTGTTTATGACGACCGCGATAAAGTGGTGGAATGCGTTGCATTGGAGCAATTCTACCGCTGCATCGAGGAGGATGTCAAACTTTGGCTGCAGGACAAACTTGGTGAAGTACAGCTAAACAAGGCAGCAGAGTTAGCTGAGGAGTATTATACTCGCCGAAAGTTGCATAGCAGGGCAGTGCGCGTTGAAAAGGATGAAAGGAAAGAGGGCTTTTCAAAGAAACCTGATCAACGGAGACCCGATCCGCACCGTAATTTCAAGAAGGACCCGTCTCTTACGAAGGACAGTGTAGGGGAAGGGCAAACAGAAGCGGAGAAATCGAGTGAGGTTTCTACCACACAGGCATTTGAATCGGAAAACAAACGGAAGCCGCTAATCTGCTACAACTGCAAAAAGGAAGGGCACATCGCGAGAAACTGTCAGGAAAAGTTTGCTTTCGCAACGATCCGAGAATCAGAAAAAAACATTCGGTTGTTGGAGCCGTATCTCCAAGAAATTAGGGTGAATGAGAAAACGTGCCGAGCACTTAGAGACTCAGCGGCAACCATGGACGTTGTCCATCCTTCATTGGTGTCTCCGGATGACTTCACAGGAGAATGCGCGTGGATCAGGCAGGTCGCCGAGGAGCAGAGTGTTCGCTTACCAATCGCCACGGTTGTCATTAAAGGCCCGTTCGGTGAGCTTCGCACCGAAGCAGCTGTGTCTGCCGCGCTAAATGATCGTTTTCCTTATCTTTTCTCCAACAACTCAGAGCAGCTTCTCAAAGAGCAGGGCAAATCGTTCTTCCCCAACTTAGCGTGCATGGCTCTCACGCGATCGCAAGCGCGGAAGCTATCGCGGCAGCTTGATCTGGTTCAATGCGGTGAACTCTCAAGTGACCTTGTCGGCGGGTCGACGGAACCCCAGAAAGGAAAGTTTCCGCATGAGTCATGTGAGCAGTCACGCGAGCGGCCCGTCGCCGAACCGACCGGCGCGGTTTCCGTAGAAAGGGGAAACGACATGGCGCCATTGGATCAGAGCGAGAGGGCTGTAACGCTCTCGCCTGTAGCGGAAAGTTGGAGCGAGCTGCCGAGAGTTGATCGAGAGACGCTCATTCGAGAGCAGCGTGAGGATCTCTCGATTGAAGCGCTAGTGGAAAGCCAAATTGAAGCGCTAGTGGAAAGCCAGAAAAACGCGGCAAAAGTGCTGTCGAAGGAGCACTACGAGGAATCGGTGAAGAAGCGTGCTTTTGAAGTAGGGAGTCAGGTAATGCTGCTGCAGCCGTTCAAAAAGAACAAGCTTGAGGTTGATTGGAAAGGGCCCGCCAAAGTATTATCGAAGCCTTGCGATACAAATTATGAAGTGAAATTAGGAAGGCGGCCGGACAAAATTTACAACTTGATGAAACCATACGTTCAACATCAAGCGGTCGTAAATCTGTTGTTGAATGCTTCAAAGGAAGAGGAAGCAGAAATTTTGAGTTCTAGTGAGGTAATTGAAGGGGGATCGAAAGTAATCCGGGAGCAGATAAACCTAGAGCCTAGCTTAAGTGAAGGAGGACCTGAGAAAGAGGACCTGAGAAAGATTGGTTCCGAGTTTGAAGACGTGTTTTCGGACCGCCCCGGAAACACGAGGGTGATCGAACACGATATCGAGCTAAGCGGTGAGGAGTCAATCCGTAGCAAGCCGTATCGTTGTTCCCCTGTGCAACGTCGAAAGTGTGAGCCGCTCTTGGTGCCGCATAGGTATCGTCGCCTAAAAGTGGCCGGTTACTGAGGTGGAGCACGTTGCTCCACAGCGCAACTTTGACGTTCGCTAAAAAAAAAGGGAAAGCTAAACGCTAATGGAGGTGCATTGAGCAGTGCGTTCTAGCTAGTACCTTCTCAACCTTTCGGTTTCTGGCTGGCGATTCGGGGCAAAATTTTGACCTCATCACGCTTTGAGCGCTCTCGTTTAGAGTGATCTCAAGGGGCCAACTTTGTGGTATTCTAATTCGTTACGTTGTTGTACGTGGGAAAAAAAATTGAGTTGTCATTTTAAGAGTCTTGTGTCCCACATGTGCCTCTTGATGTAGAGGAAACAAAATTCCGATAGACACGTAGATAGGTATATGTTGTACTATACTTTGTCTGGTGTTCTGTCGGGTGACCGAAGGCACTTGCGTGTGTCGTGTGTTGTCTGTTGTCGATCCGTTCTTGGCAAGTTGCAGAACCATCGACAAGTGCTGAAACCGAAGATGGTCAGAAGAGGCGAGTGAAGCTGGTCGACAAGTGGTGGCGACAAGCCAGTGGAGCTGGGGTCCGTCGTCAAAAATGGAATGTGTTCCCGGAACAGTCTGGAGCTGTATTCTCCCCATGGCCCTGGAGGCGAACCTGGAGGGACCTGGCGAACGAGCGCACCTGACATCCGAGCCCCGTGGAAGCAGCTCGTCTTTCCGGTGCATTGTCTGGCGGCGGGGGTGCTGTTATGCCAGCGAGTCCTCGTCAAACGTCCGTGCCTCTGAAAAAGGCAATCTGGGTCAAGGCCAGCCCGCAGTCCGCCTGGCGCGATCAACTCGGCGGCGTGAACACGCGCGGCGCCCCTCTGGCCCACGTGCATTGAGTCAGCTGCGCACGTGACAGCGAGCCGGCGTCCTCGTGTCTGGTGGTCTGACGCATGGCGCGGCGACCCCATTGGAGGAATCTGTCCTGACGACCAGCGGCGCTTCTGATTGGACTTTTTGGTTGGACCCGGTGCAAATAAAAGAAGCCCTGCGGCGCGTCGCGATCGGCGGTCCTACGAGAGAGGAGTCCCCATGTCGGAGAGCCGACATGTGTGTGAGTCAGCGGTCTTAGGCGAAAAGTTGACCTATGTGTTAGAGAGGAGAGCTCGGCTCTTCGAGTCTCTGTCGGCCCCAGTGCCGAAATTGTAACGCCTCTGTATATATGCTGTACATAAACCTTGTTTAACTCACCGTCGTCTCGTCCGCTCGTCTTATCAGCTCTGCGCAAAAGCAGTCGCGAGCTGAGAAACATACGCTACCAAACGGCTGGTGACCTTCCCGGCGGAGTTGAAAGCAGTGGCGCCTTCGGGACCGTGTTGGCGTCCCCGTCTTTCGCAACACCGTTCAGCAAATTTCTCAGCTCTGATGCATATCAGCACTCAATATTAGGAAACCTTGCATGAAATAACAACAATTATTAACTTTCCTATCACATTTTATTCATAGAAGGCTAGGAAAACCTCACAACACATCTTTTGTATTTTTCTTGTTTATTTGTGGTTCATTTTCACATTCATTGAGCTGACTAAGTAGCACTGCTTCTCACTCGCCTTGTGGAAAGGAAGTTTAATTGTGGGACAACAAATATATTGCCAATAAATTTGCAGGCTATAATGCCAACTTGTAATAATAAATAATAATAATAAATAATAATAATAATAATAATAATAATAATAATAATAATAATAACGATGGCGGCAACACCGTGGTTTCACTCACTGTAATAAGCAGCGTCAGTTGTAGACACACACCACATGCCATTGTTCAGCAATACGGCGCCTGTTATGTTCGTTCTTATGCCGTAAAAATTGTGTGAAGCTAAGTCATTTGTGGACCAGTGACAAGGGCACACGCAGGGTGATCAGCCCGCCGTCGGCCAACCAGGAAATCGTACACCTTGCGGTTTTTCGCGCTTGTTCTGAACAACACGGTCAGCACAGCGGCAATCACGATCACCAGTGCGATACCGCCAATCAGGAACCACATCCACAGTTGCGACAGCCCACGTGATTCCTGCTGGCCCTCTACGCCAATCGCCGTCGTCGTATTTTCCATCATTTTTACCGCTTCCGTAGTTGTTGCTTGTGTTGTTGTTGCTTCCGTTGTGTTTGGTTGCGTTGTTGTTGCTTCCGTCGTTGTAGCGGCCACTGTGGTCGTCACAGGAGGAGGCTTGTAAGTCACCTGTACGACGTTAGAAGTGCTGGAGTTGAGACCGTCGCTATTCGCTACGCGAGCTGCCAGGAATATTGTCCAGTCTAAGGCCCCGTCGGGTCGACGTGTGGCCCACTTGCTCGCGAACACGAAGGGTGACTTCGTGTTTGCTGTCCGCAGGGAGAGGGTCGAGATCACCTTCGACAACGTCTGCCACCGTCATTTCTTCCTGCTTCTCGAACTCCTTGTCCAGCTTGGTGTCGTCTTTGCTGGCTCGAATATCCACGGCTGAAGCTGCAAGAAGAGGGAGAGAGAGAGAGAAGTTGAACCGTAGCTCAACGTTCGGAAGCTTTACGGTCAGGAGCAGCATTATCCATTTATTAAGAACTCGGTTGTTGGGTTAATTAAAACATAACATAATGCATTTCAAGCGCTTGAAGCCGCCATGTTGGATGTTGACATTTCACTTCCTTGCACGCTCACCATTTCCGGATGTCAGGTGAGCTCCCGGCCACGTCCACGTGAGCTGCACCTTCAACGTGTCGTTAGCTCCCAGGTGCACTTGGACCACGGTGAGATCGTTGATAGCACCTGGAGGCACCTGACTCTGCACGATGTCTTCAGTCACCTGAAGGACCCTCCGACCGCCACCCTCTGGAAGGCACCGGCTGGCTCGACGCTTGTCGACGTCTCGTTCACCACTTCCGTGGGTGAATCGTCGTCCTCGAAGTCATCGGTCGGGAATCCGTAGTCCGCCTCGCTGTCTAACTCAAGTGCTCCTGTCGAGACGTTTTGAATTTGATCAGTAAGCAGTACAGGGTACTAATGCTATCGATTTCAAGCAGATGATGCTGGGTTTCGAAGAGGCCATATGCAAAAAAAATACACTGTGTTCGTATTTTGGTGCACCTTAGACAATTTTATGGCACAAGAGAGTAAAATCCGGGACAGTGGGCACTCAGTAGAGTGGACTGATTTCTTTTTTGTCTGTTGAGTGCCCCATATTTCGCACTGTTTCGGTTTAATGTTCGTAAACAAACTAGACTATCCAAAAAACCGTGGAATGTCCCCTGAACAACCTGTGAAAATAAGAAGCACGCATGTGTTAGTCTCTTCTGGCGTTTTTCATCACTACTGCACTATCCGTGACGCCAGCCGTCTGTTCGCATTATGGGAAAAGGAAATAAGCTCTGGATCGGTCGACAGGGGAGTAATATCGATTGTACCTCGCCGCGATGGTCTAGTGGCTAGGGTACTCGGCTGCTGACCCGCAGGTCGTGGGATCGAATGCTGGCTGCCGCTGCTGGCATTTCTTATGGAGGCGGAAACCCTGTTGGCCCGTGTGCTCAAATTTGGGTGCACGTTAAAGAACCCCAGGTGGTCAAAATTTCCGGAGCCCTCCACTACTGCGTCTCTCATAATCATTTGATGGTTTTGGGATGTTAAAACCCCACATATCAATCAATCAATTGTAATATCGATTGTGTATTGTCTTCCACCCTGTTCTGTCATGCAGTCGCACGCCCGTTCTTCCTGGTGATCGATCCACTATATTTTGATCGATCAACTGATTCAACTTCGTTTTGTGCGTGTTCGACTGCGCAAGTGGACGTGTAGACGAAAAGCGGGAAGTCCTGACCAAGTTATAGCTTAGTGTTGTTCACGCTGTATACGTGCTTTATGAATATGTAAGTGGGGAGGAGGAGATAGTGCCTGTAATGATGTTAGTTAAAGCGAGAAGAAAAAAGTGAGGAGGGGCGAAGGGTGTAAGGAAGGGTGTCTCAGCTTCCCTGACGTAAAACATGCAGTGTTTTGAGTTTGTTCTTTGGGCCGTATAGTAGTTGAACTGGGAGGACTGTGGGCATATAGGCAAGGCTTTCTCCGCTGCACTAACGTCATAAGAATGCAGATCACCCTATTAGGTGCTTCTTTTGTTTGTTTTGTTTGCTTGTTCGTTCAGTTCATTGTTAGTGGCCTGTTGACTATGACACATACTCACCATGGGGGATTGGCCAAGAAAGTCTATCGTAGCCTTTGGATTACCAGCACACTATTGTTTACCTCTATTGTTTACCAAATATATATAAAGAAAAGAAGAAAAAGTTATAAAATTGAAGCACAAAAAGCTGAGAAAAAAAAGAAAATAAGAAAATAAGTGGAAAACAATACCGAAAGTTTGATAGTTTGAGCTGGTCAGAAAGCAGAGCTTACCTGACTTGATCATAATCGAATGTATCTTACACATTTTTTTTTTTGCATTTTACAATGACTTCGCAAATATTTTACATTAATTCTTCAAGTAGACATTATGTTTTGAATACGTTTGGTGGCTTGAACAAAATTATAAACTGCATCAAATACATGTCTCTGGAAATGTACTAAGACCAATACACCAAACTTTTGAACATTTTCTGCGGTTTAACTTAAGCCGACCGTCTGAAGCATAATGACTAAATGTCTTTTATAATAAATGATTACTTGCGACATAACGCAAATAATGCTCCATAGTTTATGTTTCTTTGCAGAATGGGAATAGGGGCGATATCGCCACACCACCTCTGTGTAAATAAAATGTTACTGGGGAAACATGTCTTCCTCAAAAGATGGTAATAATAATTTTAAACTTTCTACATTCACTCCACTCAGGTTTCCATGGAAACTTTCCATGCTGATATCCTTTACATTTAGTTATAGTTTCCATCACATCTGTGTAGAAATGGATAATTTTTTCTATACCTGATTGATGCTGTGTATTCGACATTTAGGAGTACCTAAGTTACGTGCGAGACCACGCGCTGCCATGCTGCGTCACCACAACTGCGGCGCGGCTCAGTGCGGACTGTTAGAGTTCTTGTATATGCTCTCTACGAAAGATGATTTGCGCATAGGTCCGCCACCTTGCCTGACTAGCAACCATAGTTACGCGGTGAAGCCACGCTCTGTTTTTGCAAGCGACTTGCTTAACCCTCTCACCGATCGCCACTAGAGTACGAAATCATATTTTGGTATGTCCCGCATCGCAAAGCTCAAAGGCGTAGCTTAGTGCTGAACAATATGCACCACCGCTGCCACTACGTCAAGTGGCACCAGCTAAGAAGGATGAGCAACAACTGACGAACACAAACTATATGTCCTACGAGATTCAAGGAGTGCCTCGCTCCTATACAGCATCGATTGTTTCAGCATGTTTTCTTTTTCTTCCGAAAATGGTACTGAATCCACGCAAATAGTTTGCCGTCAATCTCGAGAACATCAATCTAAAGCAAACAAAAGCACCGTATCATAGCTAACGAGCTACACAGTGCGCGTGGCGGTCTCTTGATAGATTCCGGCTGGACGGTGACCGTTTTCGGCGGTGCGGCCATGTTTCCGGGTGCTGCCTGCGCGTCAGCTTCTCGGCTACGCATGGTTGCTGGCGGCGTTAGAAAACAGATGCGCAGCTCTGCCACCTATAGGTAGGATATTCAATAACTCTAAGGATTGTATCCGTCGGCGGGCGTGGCGTGGCGCTAGCTGCTCCTCGGCGCGTGCGCGTGTAGGCGAGGTTTGTGTGAGGAGGAGCGAAGCTGGGGATTGGGTGCTTGTCAACGGCGTGGAGGGTTATTTGCGATCGGACGCACGTTATATCAGGAGCTTGGACAGCTTCGGCGTTAAAACATTCATCCGCTTTTGCAATCGGAGGGGTTGAGGGGCCCTTTACGGAATGCCTTGTTGTGATAAGGTACCACATTGGGCTAGTTAGCAACATACCTGCATGCGGCTTTCCTTGTGGCAAATTATTTGCGCTTCATTCACTGCACCTGGCTTGATGTATAGTCAGCATGCGAAGATCGCGCGCGCCATGTCGTGATGGGGTTCATCAGTATAGGAACATAGCGTCCTCTGTGTCGTGTTCTCACCACTCATTTAGCGTTGAAGTTATAATAATGGGTAATGGTGTTTAACTTGCGAAAACCACCATAAGATTATGAGAGACGGCGTAATGGAGTACTTCGGAAATTATGACCACCCGGGGTTCCTTAGCGTGCGCCTCAGTCTAAGTACACGGACCTCAAATATTTTCGCCTCCATCGAAAATGCGGCCGCCACAACCGGGATTTGCTCCCTCCACATCCGGCGGGTCAGCAGCCGAGTGACCTAGCCACTAGACGACCGTGGCGGGTCTGCGTTGAAGTTATAGACAGCACAAGAGCAGCTTCGCCTTCTGCAGTGGCGGTGTTTTCTTACGGCCACATTTTGTTGAGTGAGTTCTGCATGGCTGAATGCCCTATACAAGATTGCTGCAAGCGTTACTTCGTGCAACATTATAATTAGTTTACGCATTCTTTGCTTCACCCTTGCTGCGAAGCTCTGACGCTTTTCTTTGTTTTTTTTTTCAACATGAACTAACATGCATGAGCGTGGCTTACCAGATGACAGAGAAAACGCAGTAGTGCTGTAGAAGCTACCGGAGCCAACCTTGGGATCGCTTACTCGAGCCCTGTGATCGCTCGAAACGTGGGCCGTGACGACGTATCTCCCTTTGCCAGTGAAGTGGACGAAGTACCCGCTGTAAGTTCCATCGTCGGCCTCGATATCGGGATCTGCAAAAAAATCAGTGATTACAAATGATAAGCGCCGAGTTTAGCTACGTGAATTTATTGTTGCGATTGATGATAGAACCTACTCGTAGCATGATAGAACCTACTCGTAGCATCAACAGCCTACTTTGGCGCGCACAGGTTTGTTCAGTTGGAGGAGCAAAGTTTCGTTGCAGTGCCCTCCCCCCCCCCCCCCTTCTTTTTTTGTTCGAACCAGAAAGACAACGCGCTTCGCAATCCGCAGGTATCGATGAAATCTCGGCTGCAGCGGCCGCATTTTCGATGGAGGCCAAAAATGCCTCAGGCCCGTGTCCTTAGATTTAGGTGCACGTTAAAGAACGCCAGGTGGTCGAAATTCCCAAGCCACCCATTAGCGGCGTTTCTCATAATCATATGGTTGTCTTGGCAGGTTAAATTCTGCACACTATTATTACTGCCTGCAAATGTGCTCAGCGGCTAAGCTAGATCAACATCCTGGGCAGAGGAGGTGATACCCAGGGAAGGGAGTTGCTGGAAGCTTTCCATATGAAGAGCCAGAGCGCAGAGTGTATTAGTGACACGTCCATTCATGTGTTTGGCTGCGAGTCCAAATTTTTCAGATCGATGCTTGTTCAGATATCCTACGGCTGCGCGCATGCGCTTTAGGTGATCTGTCTTTTTTGTGTTTTTTTTTCTAAAATAAGAGAGCGTTTTTTTTTTTAGTTCGGCGTTTTTACGTTCCACTAAGCAGATAACCACAACGATGGCGGGAGTACACATGCACTCTCCGCTCAGTCGTAAAGCTAGCGGAGCGAGGCCCACGTTCCGCCTACAGGTAGACTAAACGGAGCGGGCAGTGGGCTTGCTGTTCCCGCTACCGAGGGATGTAGATGTGCGCGCCCTTCTTCACGCGTACGTCGACTGTCTGCATGTTCTAAGATGGCTGCGCCTCCAGTGCACCACCGTGTACATGGTTCCTACGTATATACTACTCGGTGGCCTCACGTTCGTCTGCGCAGCACAAGCCACGAAAGCGCGTTCACGTAGACGGGCATTTGCGCTTACTTCAAACCACCGAATGAAGAAAAGGGGACACGATGTAAGACGGCGCAGCTGACATAAACATCGCTGATGCGTTGGCCTCCAAAGAGATTGAGCTGGCTCTGGAATGCAGCCTCGCTGACTCTTGGGTGGCTATCTTCAAGTCGGCGCTTCCACTTTCTTTTCGATGCGATGCATTGGTAGCGCCTTCCAAGAGCAAGTCTGACTACTTCGTGAACAGTGAGTTAAGCATAATTGTTTTACTTTGTAAAAGGCTTTCGTTTTATTTAACGAAGGTGAAACTAGCCAGAGCGTGCTGCGACTGTGACTACCACTCCGGTACGAAAAACGAATAAATAAACGACCAAAACGTTCACCACTTCGCTGCAGCCTAGCGGGCCAACTTGGAGATAATCGGGCCATAAAAACGTCAAACTAATGTACTCTTAAGTCAGTTTATAATTAGCGCTTTCCCTGTGCACGGTCTCGTTCTCTTTTCAGCAAGTTCTTTGTTTTTCCTGCTAGCGCTGAAAATATGATGTCTGGTATACATTGCTTGCCATTGTTGTCTGCTAGTTCTCATTAATTTAGAACATTTGTAGTGGTACTCCTTTTGTTGTCGCTGTGGTAGACCATGATTGTATGCACGACCATTTACACCTAGACGACTTCATTCCCTTGGTCGAGCTTCATATTGACGCTGTTATTCTGATGTCTTTATTTTCGTTGTCTACCCATGAAAGTCTCAAAGTGAATCGAATGAGTTCCAACGTGGGTCTTCCTCCTATATAAGAAGTCGGGAAACACGGGGGCGAACGAAGGGCCGCTTGACGTCATTCGAAGCCCTCATGTGACATGCAAAGCAGCTGCAACCTAATGCTTAGCGGGAATGTTTGAGGTGTTCCCGTTGTTCACAGGTGCGTTATCATCTAGCATGTGGACTTGATGCTTGCTCTGTGGCCTTTTTTTTTACAGATGAATACTAAGCTATATGCTATACATACTTGATTAGAACGTAATACATGCCTGTTTGTCTGCAGTTAAATTACCTCTAAACTATCGAGAGGTTAATGTTTACTTGTGGATTTGCAGTTGCGCTCGTGTTCATGCGCTCGTGTTCATGCGCTCGTGTTCATGCGCTCGTCTGTCCACCCTTCTGAATGACTTTCTTCAATGTATAAAAGAAAAACAAACGCAAGGTGTGCGCGCATCTGTTGGCTAAGAAGCAGGTGAATGCGAGTGTCTGTTGTGGATAAAATGCACGTTCACACTGAGCGCGGATCGGAAAAGCGGATGCGGGTTGCGTAAAAGCTGAAAAGCCGCGACTCCTTGCCCGGATCGCGCCGGACCAAATTTTCCGCGCGTAGAAGTTGGCCGCTTAATTTTGGCGGCAGCTAGTATATTCCAGTTCGTATTAGCGGCAGAAAACGAGGGCCCATATGAATGCGCATAGAGAGGCAGGGGCGCTCTTCTTGTGAAAAATTGTGGCCGGACAAGTGGACGGACGACGCGCGTTGCATTTCCCTCTAGTCTGGCAGTGGCGTTCAACAGATTTTGTTAGCCGCTCGCAGCAGCTTCGCGGACGCAACCTGCCAGCCGTTTTCTATGGCACGCTTCGTCCCCACGGCTGTAGCGTACACTCAACTAAATCTGTCTAATAACACCAACTTGCCGCTCAAAGCGGCTTTGCACAGGAGAGAAACCTGGGGAGGCACGCAGCCCACAGTGAAAGACCGCTATTTCCTACTGGAACACGCCAATCGCTATTAATGGGCAATGAGAGACAGAAGACCCACCGTCCGCTTTTAGTTACTGCGAAAGCTGTGAATTTTTATTGTTCAACAACGGACAGGAGAAATATCCCACTGGAACCACCTCGGAGGTCCAGATCCGGTGCCTATACATGAGGGGTGGCCAGCGACCAGTTGTGCAGCGCAAGCAGTCGATTTTTCAATCAGGAATCTCGCTAGCCGACGCTTCCTGCGTACGGCATCGGGTGGTGAGAGACAGGGAGGGAACGCGCATCCTAAATGGGGGTATAAACGCTGAGGAGAAATGGATGCCTTCAGGGTGTTCTTTTGCTGCAATTCGCATTTCGTCGCTGTGGCTCGCATGAACACACATGAGCGTCGCGAAGTCGTTCACGGCTTAATTTTCGTCAACGCGGCCTCATCAAGTGTGAGGCCCCACGGGACGGCTTTAAACTCTCTCATAGTAGAGTACGAAGTAGCCTAAATCGTTAACCACATTTTCGAAACACCAGAAGCTCACTAGCATACGCTGCCTGCGTCGGTATTGCGAGGCGAGAGAGGGGGAGGGGACGTGCATGCGCAGTGGGTGTGTAAGTGCCGCGGAGAGGGATACCTTGAGGAAAAGAGGAGGAGAGCGTGTAGAGAGAGAGAGAGTAATGAAAGAGGAAGACATAAAAAGGACGCCATTTTCTGCCTCCCATCGTGGGGGCACGGCTTAGCCTCTCTAGGGATGGGGAGCGAGAAGACGACAGAGGGAAGGAACGAGAAAGTGAAAGGCATGGCAAGAGACTCGGAGCACACGTTAGCAAGAGAACAAAGCGTTCGCCTATAAGGCGGCGAGGTCCACGGAAGCACAGAACTCTAGGAAGTCTCGCAGGGCTTGCATCTTCGAACACGCGGGGACAAAGTGTGCCCTCCACCATCGCTGCAGGCTGGCCGAGAAGGCGATCAGATGCTGTCTGCGTCAGCGTTGCGAGGCGAGAAAGGATGGAAACGTGAGAGAGGGGAAGGGGCGCGCATGCGCAGTAAGGGGGTCACGCCGCACACCGAACGAACTTCGGCCATTAGATGCTTGGCATCTAATACCAATAGTAAAAAAAAAATGTTGGTGTCTCGCATCTCAAAGCTGTGATTATCAGGGAAGCCGTAGTGTGGAGCTCCGAAAACTTCGAACATGTGGAGCTCTTTAGAGTGCAACTAAATAAAGATATACGTGGGCCGCGGACATCTAAATGCAACCAGCGAATTTCGGGTCAGTACTCAAGTGTCATAAACCCTACCTAGACTGTCGTGGGGTACAGTTGCTGAAAATACAAAACAGCAGGCCTAATTCCCAATATGACGGCACCGAAACCAACACGTAAAATCATCTACCAGCGCCTAAAGCTTAATTATGTGAGAATGAAGGTTTAAATCGCACCGTGACCGTTGTCGTAGAGCTGTGCCATCGACTTGTGTGGCGGATTGGGGCCTGTGACTTCGGCAATCACCGTGGCGTCGAGGACGATCTTCTTGCCCTTGTACACGTCCGCGTAGATGATGGCTTCGTCAGGCTTCCCAACTTGCAAGCTGCCCATTCGGCAGTTGACGCGGATCGGCTCGCTGTTGGGATCCTTGCCTTGGGACTTCACTTGGATGTTGACCTCGGCCTTTTGTGAGCCGGCGCTATCCACGCGAATCGTCCACTTGCCATGCTAGAAATGGGTTCGGAAGTCCGTCAGTATCGTCAACGATCAGGGGGCTTTTGTGTATAGGAGATTGTGGAATGCTATTCCGTTTGCTCCGTGTCGTCAACCTTCGCGTCACCGGTGGTGCCCATATAGGGAGCCCTGACGTATTTAGAAATGGCGTATAAGGAAGCACCAATACGTAATAGTACTCCATGTAGAAAAAAATACCATTACGTATTCCGTATATCTAATGGTAGTCTGCATTCCGTATATGGTATGATGTTTGGTATTGCGTACGTAAAGCGAATTTGGTTTTCTTTGTACAAAATTCTCTTTTGTATTCAGTATGCCATATTAGCGTATTGCATACAGAAAAAATTTCCATGACCCGTTTGACGGTAGAGGCTTCCACAATATATGCTGGACATTTCTAACGACGTACGTACGACATCGAGTTTCCCGCTAATGCCACCGAATGTGCTCTAATGAAGAATAGTGCGTTCTTCATGTTGACGAACAGTCACCGTCAGCTATATCGCACGTCTGACTTCGTGTAATCGCTGCTCTTCTGTTACTAACATGCCCACTACGAGCGGCGCGCGCGCCATCAGCGTTACACACCATTCTTTTCAAAAAACTGGCAAGCGCCGGTTGCGCATATAAGCAAACGCTTGAAAGGCAGATGCTGTTGTTGTTGTCGGACGGTACACAATCCCGAAAAGGGGAGACCGTATTGAAAGTCTCTTTAGTTGTAGAGGTTTATCCTCGTGATCTCCAGGTTTCCAACATCGCTTTGTCAAGCATTGCCATGCTCTATGTAAATGGAAACACGAGTAGCGAAACGAGTCCTTATTAGTCTCTTATACTTCATGACGTATCGGGAATGCTGTGTTCAAACATAATGTTCCACTTCGCCAAATATAAAAACAAATCATGACTTTGTCTAAAGAACGTTGTACTTGCCCTATGTTCAACATTTCTTATCATTATCGACATTATCATGTGGATATATTGCTTGTGCAAATAAAGAGGCCATACATTACCTGCGCCGGGCTCGGTATGATGACTTTTTTCGTTTTCTTGTCTCCCGTTTCTACACACTTCTTGCATTCTTCACCGCTGGGGTTGATAAGGGTCACTGATATGTCAGCGGACGTGGAACTCACTTGGTCAACGATCACGATAGTATTATTGCCGAGAGATGATTCGAGAATGAAGTGTTCCTCCAGCCTCGTCGTGAATGTATTTACGACGTCTGTGAGCTGTAGAGGAGACAAGAGAGTGGCAGCGTGTTAGAGATAACGAAATGTTCGTCATCCAGATGTCTTTTAGAATGTACAAACTTCGAATAGTTGCCCTACAAGATTAGGCAGATCTCGGTAGAGAGGGCAATGAAGTGACAGTCAGGATTGATTTTTTAATAATTCTCTGTGTCCGTTCAAGACTGACTGATGAGACGAATGGTGCAGTCGGTTCATCAACTCGAGCCCCTGACGGAATACGAAGGACACCATGGGACGCCACTTAAAACCGTGATGTCTTGTGAAATTACTAACTGCAAAGTTTATGCGTAAGCCAAAGAAGATAAGGAAAACGTGGAGTACTGAAGCAATCACAAAGAAATGGCACGTCTTTCAATAAATGCCACACTGCCCTTCGCACACGCTCTCGTGAGTAGCGTGACTAATTTGCGATCTATCAGTATTGCCCGAATGGGCCTAAGTGCAAAGAAAGCACATAACTATGTTGTTTCTTATACTTGGAGAACTCATTCGCACATTATCGGATAAGCCAACACGAATGAAATGTCTAATTGAAGGTTAGAGTTCAGACCTCTGTTCTGAAGAGCACGTAAAAGTCTTGATAATGTTGTGGTGCTGATTATTTAAAGCATAAGCATATTGCTTGAAGGAAAGTGTAAAATAAGGGCTCATTTTCTGTAGGCACAGTGAGAACTAACAAACAATAATGTCAGGGAAAGTATAGGAGGCGTTATTGGAAGTAATTGTAATGTATATTTGAAGAAAAAAAACTGGACAGAAAGATAACTTGCCACCCACAGGATCCGAACCTCGAACCTTCGAATGACGCGTCCGATGCTCTGCCACTGAGTTATGGTGACGGACATCCTCGTGTCCACTTTATATAAGCTCCCACTTTAAAGTGCGCTATATACCCAATAAAGTTGACCGGGCGAATGACCGCCATCCTAACCTAGTGATAGAGCAGCTATTGCGTTATTCGAAGGTCACAGATTCGGACCCTGCCTATGACAAGTTCTCTTTTCGTCCCCTTTTCTTCTTTGATTACATTTACTTCTCATAACATCTCCTATATTTCCTCTCGTGTTATTATCTCTTAGTTATTATAAAGCATATTGCTTGAAGCATACCATGCTGGTTATATATAAAACTGTGAATGTGGATGGCTTTCTGAAGTCAACCGTTGTCCCGGCCGTGGTGGTCTAGTGGCTAAGCTACTCGGCTGCTGACCCGCAGGTCGCGGGATCGAATCCCGGTTGCGGTGGCTGTATTTTCTATGGAGGCGGAAATGCTGTAGGCACGTGTGCTCAGATTTGGGTGCACGTTACAGAACCCCAGGTGGTCGAAATTCCCGGAGTCCTCCACTACGGCGTCTCTCATATTCATACGGTGGTTTTGGGACGCTAAACCCCACATATCAATCAACCAAATCGACCGTGTTGCCTATGCCAGAGGTCAGCGACTTGCTGCCCTTGGGGCAGTATTACACGGACCCCGGCTCACCGCCAGTACTCCCCTCATGCCCCGGTGACTATCTACCTGAAGGCCTAAATGGCATTGTGTATCTCGAACAAGTTTTTTTTTTTCTTGTAGCCTATGATTGTAAATTTTAACCTTGTGACATTCCGCTGCAAATGCATAAGCTCTCCATTTCAGATTACCTTTGTCTGTTTTCTTACAACGTCCCCCACCCCTTGAAATCTGTCGTGTGGCCCCCACCGTGTCGCTTTCATGCGATTCGGCCTTTTGCCGCAAAAGGTTGCCTCACCCTGATCTACGCGATCATGACGTCATAAAATGATGCCCACGCATGGCACAATACGCACCGTGACGTAATCCTTCTTTGCAGCGGCCTGCGTGGTGGTGCTTTCCACGAAGGCTGTTTCCATGGCAACCGCCATGTTGCCCTGCAGGTCTTGGAAGGAAAACGCTTTTCCGCCGGTGCGGGAGGCCAGCTTTTCGATCTGACGATCGGCTGACGCCCCCAGCGCCATCGAGCTCACTTCCACCTTGGCTGCTGTAACTTCTGGCAGGACGTCATTCAGTTTGGGCTCCTCGTTTTCCTCACCATCGCTCATCAGCACGATGATGCCTCCCTCCGGTGTCTCGTCTCGAGTGTTCAGCACCTGTAAAAACATTAGCGTTGAATACATTAACCCGCGCTTTCGATGGAAGTTGATGGGCGGTACGTGGTCCTGGTGTATAGAGTTAGAGCCTTCATATCGAGAACAATCGAAAATTGTAGGCGTCGGCGTCGGCGGGAGGTTCTGCGTGAAACCTGCAGCTTGGCACAAGCTTTAAACTGCTTTTGGGCCACTCTACGTGGCTGCGTTGCGAAAGTTGCGGAGTGTGCAAATGCTGGTCTGTCGGATTCGGGAAACTTAAGCCTTTTTTGACAAGGCGTATGCTTACGCATTCACGCGCACAAACACACACATCCGTAGCATAATGAGTACGCAAATAACTACGCCACCCTACGGGTAACTTAAAGAGCAACAAATAACAGACGAATGCAACAGAACATTCATATGCGAGGTGCCCCGGCACCAATACTAAACTCTGTGGATGATGCTGTTGGAGCCTTGGTGCCGTCAAACAATGTTATATCGAACTCGGGCGAATCAAGTTATCCTTTATATAGCTACTTGAACATGACAATACTTTAACGTAAACGCAGTGGAAGCTATCGCTTGCCATCGCCTGCTTTATTTTTTTTTTGCCAATTTCTTGTCGCAGATTCCGTGGCAGGGCGCTCGGTTGAAGAGGACATGACATGGTGACCCACAAAACTGCCGTATTCAGCGAAAAATAAAGGTAAAAGGTCTTCTGAGCCATAACATCTATTAGTTTCTCTTTTTCCTTCCATCGTGAACTAAGCTCCATAAGAGAGTTCCTATAGCTGGTCAGTCGTCTTAATATCTCACAGCAAGAAAAAGAACATACATAGCGGGAGAAAGCAACATATAGTAACAGGAGCCACAGTGCATGAAATTCTATTCACTGTAGGCGATAGATGAAAAGCATAGTCAAATTTCTTTTGACACTGAGCACGTACAATTTATTCACCTCTAGTGCTCGTTGGAGGCCGCAGCCAATGCATGTAGTGTCCATTCGTTTGCAGTTTCTCGACGGCATCCACAAAGCCCCGCCTGGTGTTGACGTTTACAGGCATCAAAGTGTGGTGGACGGTTGCTGTTGTACTGAATGTAACTATAGCCAGCCGCTTGGAGCCATCTGCAATATCCTGGATGTATCGGGTTGCCGCTTCTTTCAGGAATGTTAGCCGATTCATTCTCTGTAACAACCACGGAGGAAACAAAAAAAAAGTCACAGCTTTGCCACAAAGACAAAGCAATGAAAGTGATAGCCAACAAATTGAAAAATCACGCACAGAATGGCAAGCATATATAAACGAGCCCAGCGTTTTTTACGCACAAATGACGCGCGAAACGTACTCACAGGTATGGATGAACACGAATAAGCGTCTCAGTTGTTACTTCAGTGTGTCTGAAAAGCGCGCCCTGTTTGCAAACGAAGGATGTTCAAAATTGCAGTGACTTTTGTGCGCTCCATAACTACAACACAATCGTTCCATTGCAAACCCAACGTCAGCCAAGACGTATGACCCTTCCCACCGGAAGATAAGGGCGCGCGAGAAATCGTTCACTATCCTCCTTTCCGTGGGCCAAAGTACGCGTGAGAGATGAAAGCCGCCGCGTGCTCATTGCGCCATCTTGCTGATAATGTTGAAAACACGATAGTCCTCCTCCCCCCGAGATGCCCACCAATAGCGTTAGGTGGTAGATATAAATAGCTTGCCGTTTGATCGTTGAAGGAGGTACCTTTCGGTGGCTCAGTGGTTAACGCCTCGCATTCACGACGCGGAGGTCCCACACGCGTTGCCACGCGCCGGAGTGTTTTTCTGATTTTTTTCTTTCTTTCTTGTGTTTTCATATATATATATATATATATATATATATATATATATATATATATATATATATATATATATATATATATATATATATATATATATATATATATATATATATATATACATATATTTATATTTAATGAGATCTAACAGACAGTAATGCCAAGGAATGTACAGGGGAAGTTATTAGAACCAATAGAATGTAAATAAGAAGAAAGAAAAGTAGATGAAAAAATAACCAGCCGTGAGCAGGAATCGAACCTACGACCTTCGAATAACGCGTTCGATGCTCTACCCACTGAGCTACCACAGCGGCCTTCCCTCCATCCACTTTTTGGGGTTTATATGTGAATTTAGAAGTAGCAGTGACAGTCAGCGCCATCTATAAGCCAAGCGACGAGTGTGAAAACACTCTTTTATCCGCATGTTTGGCGTCACGTAGCACGTGAACTTATTATGAGCGGGCAGCTGATTAATTGGTTAGAGCATTCAGTGGATGCTCTAAGAAAAGTGGATGAAAAAATTACCAGCTGTGCTCACAGCTGGTAATTTTTTCAACCACTTTTCTTTCTTCTTTCTTCTTATTTACATTCCATTGGTTCTAATAACTTCCCCTGTACATTCTTTGGCATTACTGTCTGTTATATCTCATATATATATATATATATATATATATATATATATATATATATATATATATATATATATATATATATATATATATATATATATATATATATATATATATATATACGGTGCATGACGTCGACGCCGACGCCGGCGGCGAAATCTAGCCGAGAGGCCAAATATAATTGCTATTGCAATAAAAAAGGGAAGAGCAGCATCACGTCGCACAATTGGAGACCACCGTGTCAGCTCAACACGAGACTAAAACGTCGAAGTGTGCGATAGGTTTTAGTACTCTAGGTGGTGTTCCGTTTTTTAACCACCTCCATGAGCCAGCTGGTCTGCGCCGAACAAGTGCGTTTCTAATAAAAGCTAACGGGTGCCATATTCCGACGTCTCGGCAAATCTCGCTGCTTGCGTGATCCTAACGCAGAATGTCACGTGTCGCGCCGACACTGCTGGCCCTCAGAGCGGGTCGGCTTGCCAAGTCTGGCTACGTGACGTATTGCCCCTCCTTTTTTTCTTCCTTCCTTCTTGCACAAAACACAATAACCTAAGGTAAAGTGATAGATGTCTGTGGGTGTCGGGAATCTGCACGCGAGAAAATAGTGGTTTTATATATAGTGCTGATAATACGAAGTGAAATTTGGGAAGGCGTCTAACCACTGAGCATTGTGTTTTAACAACGAAGCTGCTCGAGCTGGTCACAATGTGTAATCTGTTCACGCTACTTTAACCCACGGACTTACTGTCAGAAAGCAAGTGTCTCAACAACTATAGAATGTCCACGCAGACTAGCATGGCATAGCACAGCCTTGTATAGTATAGCATAACAAGGGTCTAGGAAAGGGAAGTGGTGCTGAAGACAGATTTGAAAAATGAGAAGTTTAAGGGGGATGGGAAAGCATAGCAGTGAAAGAAATAGAGAAAAGACTTATGGCTGGCGCTTCCTGCTTGTGCGTGTGTGTAGAGACGAGCAAGAAGAGGAAGCAACTTCACTAAACAATAATGATGATGTCCATTGTGAATGGGTGAAAAAAAATATTGCACTCTTTTATTTATACATGTTCTTCTGTTCGTTCTCAGAATTCAGTCATTGAAAATTCTCTCGGTCATATGATGAACTCTTGACCAATTGCCATGAGTGGGTATGAGCCACATTTGGTAAAGCTCGAACAAACAAACAAACAAACAATCAAATGAACAAACAAACAAACAAATAGAAGCTGTGAAACCTGAGGAAGTGCGTAGTGCAGGCACGCAGTGATTTCTGGAAGTGAGCCTCTATATAGCTAGTTTTTACCATCGTCTCCAGGGTAGCCTCCTTATTCCCTCGGTCTAAGGCATGTTTGATAGCGCATGATTAACGTTACTTGAGATTGCCCTAAAGTATATTTGACTTTAACACTCAACCAAAGACGTGCGCACAAAGGATGTGGATCAGGGGCTGCCGCCTCAGGATATTTCCCGTGCATTGATTTAGTGGGATAGGGGAGAGGCACTGCGGTGATTCTTGCCTCCCCCCCCCCCCCCCGCTTCGATGGGGAAGCCTGCAACTCAACCATTCAAATACATCGACAAACATGCTGTTAGCGAACAACGAACGAGAATTGGTGAACGTGATTATCACTAACCCCGTCTTTTACTGGTCGTTTCAGAGCGCTCTTGAGCGCTATTCTGAGAGAGAGGGGGGGGGGGAGAGGAGAGAGAGGCTGATAAAAAGAAAAGAAGCAACTTCTTTCTCTCTCTGAGAAGGTGGCTCCGAAACGACCAGTCAAAGATTGCATAGCAATACTATATTTGTCGGGAAAATTTAAATGAGGAAACCCAAGGCCCAAGGAAACGCAACAGGTGACTGAAGAAGTGTACAAACGATTCGGCAAAAAAAAAAAAAGCCTGATTCCACCTATTGTAAGTGGAGCTGCGAACTGTTGTAGCAGGACCCCTAAAAATATTAATCCTGAAGTTGCTGAGAAAAGCCGCACATATTTGACTTATAAGTATTCTCGTTTACGCGTGGAGCAGAAGCATAGAGGATTACAAAGAGGGTTCAACTTAGGATGAGGACGACGCAGCAAGCGATGGAACGGAAAACGATATGTGTAACATTAAGAGACAAGGAGAGAGCTGAATGGGTCAGAGAACAAACCGCGGTAAAGGATTTAATAGTCGAAATAAAGAAAAGAAATGGTCATAAGCAGAGCACGTAGCGCGATGGGAAGATAACCACTGACCATAAAGAATCACAAACTGTATTCAAAGGGAAGGGGGAACAAAAAAGTTAGGTGGACAGGTGAGATGATAGTGCGGTAGAAGCAAGCACAAGACGCAGTCGACTGGCGGGAACGCGGGAGAGGCCTTTGTTCTGAAGTGTACGTAGTCAGGCTTATGACAATGATGATTCTTGTTTAGAAACATAAATATTTAATTATAAACGGCAGCATGCTTACTTGCATGCCTTGCGAGACGTCTCAAACGGATCAGTCGAGAGCCAGGGCACGCTTCAAGTGCTTTTTTACCCTTTTGGTATTTTCATCCCAAGCATGCATTGTATGCAAAATTAAGAAGAAAAAATACAAAATCGGTCAGTCCGCTTCACTCTCAACAACTAGCAAAGAACTGCCAGTGTTACAAACACATCCTGAACATTCCACCACTACAACAATGCAGAAAAGTGTCTCGACTGTGTCTTTTCCACGAAATTCACCACCACAGCCCGTATTTATATTCTATATTCATTCGGCCACCGCTATTCATTTCATCGCGCATCGACCATCGCCAAAAAGTAAACATTTCACACAGTAACATCATTGGTTTTTCAGATTAATTTTTCCCCAAAACAACAAGAGATTGGAAACAACCTACCTGCAACACTCGCAAGCATAACTGACACCAATAACTTCAAAATCGTTCTTGAGAGTTTCATATCGAGTTAGCATCAGTGTTTGTTTTAACCCTTTGATTGTTCTAGATGTTTTTGCCATGCTTCTAGAAATTTTGCTTTAAAAACTGCTACTTTTGTGCATTATGTTTTTTTTTACCGTTATCGCGGTCTTACCATTTCTCGCGTTATGTTTTTACTTCTCGGCAGTTTATTGAATGTGTATATAGTGAAGAAACTCAAATTCTAACACTCCCGCAGCAATTAAGTGTTTCGATTGCTGCAATAATAATTACCCTACTTTGGCCTTGGTTTTGTGACTCAAATTGGTTAAGTGTCGCCGTGATATTTTCTGTCTATACTATGTACTTATTGTCAAATAGTTATCATATAATAAGGATTGCCCTCCCCTCTTCAGTGTACAGTGCTCAACTCGGCTGTCCATAACGACGGAGCTTCGCACGCGAAACAGCACGGGCGACATCTGCAGTCGCAAACACGCCACATCTGAGCGTGCGCGGCGCCAATGATGTGCCTGCCGCGCAATACTTATCCCTGTTTATCGCCACGTATGCTACAACCGCTCTAGCGCTCTGAGCGATTTCGCGAAAAAACAAAAAAAACAAGAAAGAAAGATCAAGTAAAACCGTTGTCACTGTGATATGATATCACGAAGCAAGAATATGTCTTCTTTGTTCTTTTATTTTGATTTTGTATTGTTGACAGCGTCTCAACGGCCAAAGCAGCCATTGTGGCCGCGGAGATAAAGAAGGGTGGAAACTGCAGGGCAGGCTCATCATTGGCGCCGCGCATGCTCAGATGTGGCGTGTTTGCGACTGCAGATGTCGCTCGTGCTGTGCCGCGCGTGACGGTCCGTCGTTATGGACAGCCGAGTTGAGCCCTGTACGTTTGCACCCTGAGGGGGTTTGAAATAAAAAGTGAATAAATATTTCAGAACATCTGTCGCTTACGTCCATGCTAATGGAGACGTCGAGCACCAAGACAACCCGTTGGGGTAGATCTTCTCTCTGCTGCGTCTCTTCGAATGATACCTCGATGTTCTTGGACAGGTCAGGCTTCGAAAGGCTGCAAGCATGGTGACACAGTGAAGCAGCGCATGTGCCTAAATCAGAGGTCATTGTTATCGTGATTATGTGCTAGTATATCATTAAGCTGTTACAGAAGGAGGAGAGGCTGCTTGGTGCAGACGAAGCTAATAAGCCACCTCATAGATAAGATTCCTCATATGCACACCGGAAATAAAGAGCTACTAAATCTCACTCAGTGGGGTTCTCAAATTTTAACATCCCTGCCTTTTCCTTTTGCTTCCTGTTTCTTTTTTTTTTAGGGACGCTGTATCCAAGATTACGCATGCTCGCACTGTTACGCTATCTCATGAAATGGCTCCATGGTGCCTCTGACACCCGTGACACTACCGAGATCAAATCCACTGATGCTTTATTTGCTGCTGCAATCAAATGCTGAGATATGGTCCAGCGTAGTGGAAAACCTATAGTGCACTATAGGTTACATACAGCAGCTACATACAGCATTCACATGTGAATGCTGTATGTAGGCCCGTGGGCTCAGATTTGGGTGCACGTTAAAGCTCCCCAGGTGGTGAAAATTACCGGAGCCCTCCACTACCGCGCCTCTTATAATCATATGGTAGTTTTGGGACGCTAAAAACCCCCCATATGTATCAACTTATTGTATGACTTAACGAGCTGGCGCGTCCGGTTTCATCGGGCGTGCTTGGCGTCGCCGGCGCTGAGTTAGGACAACGCATATATGAGAGAGAGGCGTCCATACCCTTTGAAGTCTTCGTTCTCGCTAATGACTTCCCACGTAGACCTCTTCTTGCAGACCGCATTCTGCTTGTTGGGAGCATTCGGGTTGTGCGCACGCACACCGTTGCTAGAGTCGCAGAACTGGCTTACCTGAAATATACATAGCGCTTAGAGTAAAAATTCGTGGTCCCGTGAAAGAATACTGCCACTTTACTTCGTCGTACCGTCACACTACAGTCGGTAATGCAAATGCTGAAGGTAATGCACGGAGGATACGCTGATATCACATGCCTGATTTTCGTCACATTAAACTTGATAGAACGAGACCAGAGAATTTTGAGGCCTCTTCTTTTGTTTGATGCAACCATAATGAAAGCCAATAGATAAGGAGGCCAAGGTAAGCATAGGGGATGTTAATTGTACTCTTTTACGTCTATTGTAGTAACTACAAAATGTGAAAAATGTAAAGTTGAAAGAAGGACAACTTGGGACCGTCCACTTCGCTTTTTCAATGTTATATCATAAATGGCGCAATATAATTAAATCAGTTCAATTAGCGTCCCGTACATTTTTTTCTCGGCTTCATCATCGGCTGGTATTCATTACCGTTAAATCAAACAAAGAAACGAGCGCTTCATATTTCTTTCCTTCATTCATTTATAGCGAGAGTCTATTTCCGGCTTACGTGGTGCCTTCAGGTAGTGAATGAAATCTTATTGGTCAGCTGTTCGCTCGTTAAAAGACCACGAGCTGCTCGTTGCTAACTGCAGCTGACAAAGAAGTACGTTCTTCACCCTCCTTCATGGCTACAAGGGCACAGACAAACCCTTGTAGGTTTTGCATGGACATAAATACCCGATAAAGTGGACAAGAAAACCACCGCCACAGTTCATTTGGTGAAGGAGCATTGGGCGCGTTCTTCGAAGGTTGCACACTCGGCCGGCTGCAAGTTACCTTTTCGCCCAACTTGTACGAACACAAATCTTATCTCTATGGTATTCAAAAACACTGATGACTAACTGACCCACTCACTTCACTTCTTCACAATCCAGTACGCTTCGCAAATTTTCCTTGCTCATTTATCGCGGCATCGGCTCAATATCTTGACATCTTTCAGTTTCGGTTCGCACTCGCACTCCGAGCACTAAATGGGTAAATGCCCACGTTTATTGTTTTTACTGACAATTCATCTTCCCACATGCAAGCGTTGACACATCTTTGGTGCCTGTCTTACATGACTCTTTCCACACGGCAAGGGAATTTCACAGCCCACGCCAAGAGTGCACTGCGTATATAAATTTGTATGCCTCTTCCCCGCATCCTTGTACCCTGACTTGGTGGTCCCCTATGCGCGCACACAGCCCTGCAAGCTTCTTAGGAGCCAAAAACACGACATCAACTGTAGGTGAACTGTGCGAAATATAGGTGAACTGGTTTATAGGTATGTTGTAGGTGAATAAGTGTTATAGGTGCACACTGTAGGTGTGAAATAAAGGTCAGTTGCAAGTCTGCGCCTGTGGGTGTGGGTCTGGTTGATACGTGTGTGGCGCAATTATCCCCTTTGTGTTATTATGCAAGAACTCGCCCAGCAACAAGTCCTTCTATACTACACTTTCATAAAATTTATGTCGTAAATATTGCAATACTGTTAAAGTGACACTATCAACATCCCCTATACCTTTTTTTGGCTTTTTTATCTGCTGGTTTATCTGCTTTTTGTTATCTGCTGGTGGCTAACCTCCCTGTCCTTCCGCTTAAACTTTTCTCCTCCTCCTTTATCTGCTGGTTTTTGTTAGTCTTCGAGTCCTCTTTTGGTCTTTACTCGCAAAACGTAGCAAGACAGGTGCTAGTCATAAATGTGAATTAGTCTTGAATGCATGCGAAGGTGGTGAAAAACAACGCGGTCATTCAGCCAGTAATGACAAACAGCCTCCTAAATGATCGTTCTAAACTCAGATGCATACATAAATACGTTCTTTTGTACGACGGGGAAATTAATCACTGTATATCGTTAGTGTAAGCCGGATCTTTGCGGACCAGAAGCATTCATTTGTGTTGGAAATGAATTGGCGGAGGACTCGAAAAGCATGCAGGGATAAATAAGAGGCACTCACGTTTGCGACATACGGCATGAACATGATAGATGATTCGACAGGATCCTTCGCCGACGTCGTGAAGCGAATAGGGCAGTCCTTGGAAAATGTACACGTAGCTTTATTAAGCTTGCACCATTTTCCAGAAGGCAGTTTCGGAATGTAGCGAAGCCTTTTCGAACACGCATTGAGCTTGACCTGGTAGATGACAAGAATGAAAAAAAAATGTATCAGGAAACTGAGATCAGCTTATACCGTTACGGAGCATTAGGAAAAAACAAATCTTAGTTGGCTAGCAATCAGTGGTCAGTGTTTACAAGAAACTTCTAATGAAGAAAGCAGGCATGTTTGCCTTCTGCTTGAAAGCGTAGCTTTTATTGCGAAACTCTGCGGGCTAAGGTCACCATGCCAGCAGCGGATCGAACGAGATCATACCTAAATTTCGTTGTGACGTTTGGGGCCGGAAAATAAAATCTACGAGTTTACTTCTATTCCCACGGTCCCTTCCTGTTTTGACATCCAAGTTTTGACATCTGAGGGCACGTCCGCCTTTTCCGGATATGCATTTTGCTTCCACTACAGCTATCTATCAAGAAGGCCTCTGAAACTCAAAGATGTCCGGTAAAAGATTAACGCTCACATCTTAAGTAACATAAAGTAAGAGGAGGATCCTGGTAGACACACCGCATTTGTACTTTTGAGCACTGGACTAAATATGAAGGAAGTTCGCTACAGACTAAGCATATTCGGACATAGCGTGTCGTATGTGTCGGTCATCTTAATGTCACCATTCAATCGCCATACTTAGCTAGTGTTCAAGCAGGTCGACTGCTTACTCGAAGGCCGTAGGATCTAATCTCGGCCACAGCTCATGCATTTTCGATTGGGGTAATAATGGTCGAGTCCATCGTATTTGGATTCAGGTGCGCGTTAAAGAATCCCAGTTGGTCGAAATTTCCCCGGGGCCCTCCACTACGGCGACCCCTCCCCCCCCACACACACGCACGCACGCATGCACGCACACAAAGAGAAAGAGAGAGAGAGAGAGAGAGACGTGCGCGCACCCCAGAAAAAAACATTTGTTTACGCCCCTGCTGGTTTCTTTTTGTTGCAGCTATTTAACAAATCAGTCCCTTTGGAGGGGAGTGAGGGCAAAAAAAAAAAAACTATAGATCGCCGTGTACTTAAGTTTGAATAAACGTGATGCTAATGTTCTATCTCAAACATTACCGCGTCAATTATACTATAGAGCACACATGTATTAAAGAAGATACTAGCTAATTAAGATAGCTCAAAGAGAACGAGGACTGGAAAAGCAATTGAACATTGAATCTAAACATTTTACGAGAAAAACGAGAGGATGTGGGAAATTTAACCAAAAGCATGAGCGTTGTGCTCACAAACTTGCAGAAAACAATAACATCTATAAAGTTATGATTGTTCTGTTCTGCCCTGCCGCGGTGATCTAATTTTATAAGGTACTTGGCTGCTGACCCGCAGGTCAGGGGATCGAATCCCGGCTGCGGCGGTTGCATTTCGGTGGAGGTGGAAATGCAGTCGGCCCGTATGCTCAGATTTGGGTGCACGTTATGGTCGATATATTTCTGGAGCCCTTTACTACGGCGTCTCTCATAATCATGTGGTGGTTTTGGGACGTTAAACTCCGCATATTAATCGTATGTTCTGTTCTACATGTTCTACAAACGCTGTAATTGCCGTCTTTGACACGAGACTATGCTTAGCTAATGATAGCGGCACACATAAATCACTTGTTCATTACTTCTTTGCCGTCGCAGTAGGTGAGTGGATACTTGTCGTCATCCCTGCGGCCATACTCGTCAAACACTCCGTACCGGAAATGGGCCCACTCGTGCACGAACACGTAAGCTGCAAGAATATATTTATGACATCAGAAATAACTCATTCCTCAGCACATAAAGCCAAAGTCTCCTAGTTGCGTTTCTCGGTGAAGTGATCGATATACAATTTCCATTTACTACGAATCGTATCAAAAATAAACTGTGTCAGTCATTTTAGTAATACAAGACATAATAGTATTACAAAGTAAGGATAATACCAAAGGTCCAAATAGGTATTATTTAGGGGCCTGTTGTTCTTGAATAATTATGTAAAACAAACTATATGTAGCGAGAGAATACGCACTAACGCGTTAGAAGATTATCAAAGATTGGTAGTTTAAGATTTCACGTGTAAGTCGACTCGTCAAATTTAAAGAATGGGAGTGCGACGATCTTGTAGAACATCGTTTGACAGTGAAACATATGGTGAGATAGATGTGTTGTGGTGTTACATAACATCATCCCGCTTATTTATGTGGGTGCAATGCTATAGCTAATCTTGTAACGAATGTTACAGAAAACTGATTTAGAAGCTGCCGGAAAATCTGTAGCAAACTGTATGATTTAAAATATTGAAGTGAAGCGAAAAAATATAAAAAAATGTTTTTAACTGTATTTAGTGTTTACACGTGAATGTAAAAGGTTTATGTTTTTCGGAAAAACCGCGTGTTTTAGTGTCGTATAGTTGCGATAGAAAAAAATTGCTTCGTGGTACTCTAAGAAAAAACTTAGTTTACAATTAAAATGTGTGGTTTAAGAGCAGATTTTTTTCGAGTGCGAAGAATTGAGACGTTTATGCTGTCCATGAGCTATTGACAATTATTCGCACCACCCGATTCCCAAGGCGACGGAGCTATGTGAGAACTGCATGGCGTCTGTTTTGCCCAGCGATAAGCGCTAGAGGTAATGAAATTGCATTGAAAAGATTTTTAAATTGCTTTATAAAAGAATGTTCTGTGCGGCTGAGTACGCGAATGTCAAAAGTAGCCTTCTTCAATACAAATTTTGCGAATATCGTAATTAACGTGAGGGTCTAATGTAGCAGCTACAAAAATAATGAAATTGGATGGTCTAATGACGCGGTTACCGATATGAGGTGTACCCTATGTAATACAGCGTATCATTATAGGCAGCGCGTGAGCTAATGAAGCAGTTGAACAATCCGATTGTGAAACAGACGTAGACGTTATCATCCTTCCAATATTAGTGAATTGAACTGCGCGGAATCTACAATTGATATCGTTGAAGCTAAATATCAAAGCTTGGTTTATTCTGAATGATAGCCCCGATCTACTTATCAAGCATATTACTTGCTGACAATGACAATCATAATAGCGCATTACTCGATTAATCATCATGATCAGTATATCCCAAAGATAACATGAATCATTATGCTATATCAAGAAATGAGCTGCGGTCCTTCTAAATGCAAGATATTTTGAATTTGTTGAAACACGTGTTCAAATGGCGTGACTTGTGCTAAACGTAATAAATTTATCTTGAATAGATCGATATGTTTGTTCAATTCATCAATCGGTTGCTGGTGGGACATAGTACACTTCCTAGCAACCAAGCAGGCGATGAAATTACTCCCCATTTACATCGTAGAGATGACATAATTTCTTGGACTATATTAGAAATGTATTACGGTACACTCTAGTTTTCATATGTTGTATTCTTAGACGTTAAATTTAATGGCGAAGCTGTTGAATCCGAGCATATTTGGGCACAGTGATGTTTGCAGTTCTTAGCCATAGAAATCGGGCGAGTTCCACTCCACACTTTTGGATTTACACTGTATTGTTCGCAGCTCAGCTCGACAGGGAATGGGCAAGTACTATCGTGAGCAATGTGAGCTTAAACATGCAAGCGCCTGCCGAATAGCCTCGAACCTTACGTCGGCCTATTCGCAGCAGCCACTGTCGGAAACAAAGTGTAAGGGCGCCCGCTTTCGTTAGCTGCTGACAATCCCGCCTCGACATTTTTGCTGTAAAGTGCAGCTTATGGCGTGTTAGTGGCTGCTAGCTCTGATAGGAGCTCACATGACGAGCTAAGCCACAACCAATGACCCATCAGGCAATGAAGCTCTAAAGATATCGGCTGTGGCGTAACCTGCCGGGATGCACATACCATGCTTTTATTACCTCTATAAGTGGTGTTCGCTGAGCACTTTGGTACGCATCTTTGACTTATTATTTTTTGTGCACTTTCTTTTCGTGATATGATTGCTAGGGCTGGTGAGGAGTGATGTCGGATGTGGGAGACCCCTTCACAGCAACAAACATGCTGGGGTCTCCAACAGTTAGTGGGAGACCGCCCTCTTTTCTCCTCCCCTTTCGGTAGCTCCAATCACGTATCACGTTACCTCGGCTTTGAAGCTCTTTGCCACATTAACGTGACAATAATCATACTTCTCACGATTGTAAATTGCGAAAAGACAGGCACTGCATAAACCAAGAATGGGTTAATGGGTTAGTGTAACAAGAGTAGTAGAAAAAATAGCCATAGAAAAGAGAGAAAAAGAAAGAAGGAACGCTGGTAAGATAAGGAGGTTAACTACACTACGTCCAGTTTGTCACCCCAGACATGGGCAAGGGGGAACAAGGGAGCAAAGAGAGATAAAAATAGAAATGGAGAGTCATATTGCACACCACAACAGAGAGTGCAGGGTTTCGGGTGGGCGACAGCTAATGCTGGCTTCAATAAATATAAAAGGGCTGGCGTGGCTTTATGGACTGAGGTACGTGCACCCGAGATCTTTTCCTGCGCAAAGGACTAATCATGCAGTTTCCTCAAGGCACTACTGGAGAGTCTGGCGATATTGTTAAAACATAGAAAAGGCTAGAGATGAGGTGAGAAAGGGTAAAATATAGCAAAGCAGAAAGATTTCCAGGTAAAGGAATGGGAAGGAGAAGGGAAAGGCGAGAGGAGAGGTGCAGGTGGTTGAGCGGACAGTAGGACAAAGGAGAGCGGGAAGGAGAATTGGCGGCGCCGGACGCATATGGTAAGGCGTTGATGAGGACAATCTTTCGTGGGTAGAAGGCGAGCTGCTGTATGGCAGTGCTGAACCATGCTGTACTTTGCCTAGCTTTGTGTTACTTTGCACTCCGTGGCTGCGGCTACTCTTCAGCTACACTGTCTCTTGCTTTTTACGACGCTAAGAAAGGTGAAGGCCACGTATATACTTTTGTGCTAGGTTCAAGTCGGTCAATTATTGCGACTGTTGCTTTTTTGTTTGCTCTGAATGAGGCTGGTGGTTAAGAAGCAGGTACGTACCGGGGTTTCGAATTTGTTCGTCGTTGAACCGTTGAGTTCGGCCAGGAACGTAGGCGAGAGTTGAATGTAGTCTCCTGGCTTACCGCATGGTCTCAGCTGCTTCGTGAAAGGCCGTTCCTCCGCCATTGAGCCAGGAACGGCGACACGTACATCGCTTTTCTCGAACGAACTCGAAGACAAGCGACGGGCTCCTGCTTCTTTCGGGCCACGTGTTGGGAAAGTTGATGATTACGTGCTTGAAGTACACGAGACCGTTGGTTGCGCGGTGCAGGAAATGAGACGAAGACCTTAGGAGGCTCTGCAAGTGGTGACATAGGTGTAGATTTACTCCTGCTTTTGTCTCCCAGGGTTTAGTAACCAATGGAAAGTTGAAAGAATAGTAGTGGGACCTAATGGGTCCAGGAGGTGGCTATCAAGTACTGAGTACATCTAGCAGTTACACCTGCTGTGATTGTGTCTCAGGAACCAATTGAGACTACTTTCAGTTTGTTTCTTACAGCTAATGATGGTCCTGGAAGATAACAAGCAAGCAAGCTATTGCCACAGTTAAACAGTCCGGAGACGCCCTGCCCAATCAACCGAAGTCCAGTCTCATCCGCGGATCAAGAGCAATAGTTCCGCTCACGCCCTCATCAATGGTTTCCCAAGGCGGTCGGCAGGGGAAGCTTATTGACAGAGAATGCAGCAGAAAAGGAAGCGGTAAGCTGCGTTCGGCCTAGCGCAGAATCCACGAGCTCATGCCGATGGCGATGCTGCCGAGGCGCATAGTCATGCCGTTGAGGTTACTCTTCTCCGCTACTTAAGTTACATTTGACGTGCTTTGGCTCGCATGCAGAAGCGAGCATCGCTGGATACCAAGTTCGAAAAAAAGTCCTTCGACGCCGGTTCTTCAGCACCCAAATGCATGAAATTTGGGTGCCTACATAATGCCGATGCAACCACGTACATACATGATCAATTTAGTTGGTCGTGTATTTTACGAACAGTGGTACAAAGCTAGCTTTCTTCTGAACGATTGATCCCGGCCATTTCGGCCGTTTCATTTGCGTTCTCTCCTTCAGCTCCCACTTCCTATGGATTACAACAACCAACCCTACAACCAACACGCTCCTGTGCTTTCTGCTGCCAGGTTACACCTGCTACCTTCTTAATCTCATCTGCCCCCCCCCCCCCCTCCAAATTTCTGAAATCCACTGTGGTTATCTTTACCACGTTCTACGGGGCTACCCATGTCCACTTCTTCTTCTGTTTCATTACGCATGGTAGAATGTTATATAAATGGTTGTCTTCCGTTTGCATGCACTGCGAATATGGGGATACACGCGCGTCTGCTTTGTGGACCCAAGCGTGGGCCAAACAAACCTGAAGGTAGTCGCGATCTAAATCTTGATATTTGATTGCAGGACGCACCTGCAAACATTTGGTAGTTTAAATCAGTGCATTGAGCCTTCAAAACGTATGTGCGTGATGTTGCGTGGAGACGACAAGTTCATAACATGGAGGGTCGCGGTTTGCGTGTTGTTTGTCGTTCTGGCCTCGAGTATTCCTCTATGCTCGCTCTGTGTTACATGGCGCGCGCCGCGGTCCAAGACTCTGCGCCTCGAGGTCAAAATGGCGGTGGTTCTCCGACGGGGCTACGGAAAACAATAACAGCTGAGCTACATTGCGACATTATCACCTACCAAAGGCTTTAGGGAATGTGGGTAATTCGTTTACCCGACACTTCGCCTATTTAACACTTTCGCCCTTTTGCTTCGTACGACAGCTATGGAAATCGGTAAAACGCAACGCTGTTATTCGGCCCTTTACGTCCGTGGCAATTCACAGCGGAACAGTAGCGTCGCCTGCGGCGTTTCTTCATAGCATGTGAAGATTTCACAGCTGCTTTTGTTTTTCGCCATCTTTCTGCCGAGTCATTCAACAAACACTTTATGGCGGTTCGGTAGCGCGTCCGCCTAGCGTAGAAAAATTAATAGTACTAGCCTCATCACTGTGGTTTAGTGGCGGAGGTACTTGGCTGCTGACCCGCAGGTCGTGGGATCAAATCCCGGTTGTGGTGGCTGCAATTTCGATTGAGGCGAAAATGCTGTAGGCCCGTGTGCCTGAGATTTGGGTGCAGGAAAGACGCCGTAGTGGTGGGCTCTGAAATTTTCGGAGCCCACCACTACAGCATCTTTCATAACTATTGGGTAGTTTTGGGACCTTAAAGCCCACATATCAACTAATCTAGAAATTCATAGCACTCTTTTTGTCTGCTAAATCTGCAAAGCACACGCGATACTAAGCTCACTAGTTGTTTCACACTCCTTACAATTGCACCTGATTGAATTTTTTTTCTTGCAGGTAGGGTGAATGCTTTTGTGTTGCATAAAATGAGCATAAAAATTTGGTTACATGCCTTGATGTTCTCCACGATGGTCTCATTATAAGGCACGTCCTGGTTGATCGATATCAGCAGGTCCTTGTAGCCTCCGTCGGTCTTGTCAATCTCCAAGGTGTTCACACAGATCAGCGGGACACAGCAGTGCAGCTGCTAGTAAGTGCAGTTTGGAGGGCATTCTTAGCTGTTTAAAAGAGGAAAAGACAAATCAATTGGATTATTCTAAAACCAGGAATTGCACTGTGGTTTCATAAAAAAGATGAAGGTAAAATGCTTGATAGGCCTGTTTCTATAAAAACGTACAGTTCAGTTCCAAAGCCAGGAAGTAATGCAAGGGGAGTGACCCTTATCCTAAGATTTTTCGATTTCGCGCGCGCGCGCGCGCGTGTGTGTGTGTTTGTGTGTGTGTGTGTGTGTGTGTGTGTGTGTGTGTGTGTGTGTGTGTGTGTGTGTGTGTGTGTGTGTGTGTGTGTGTGTGTGTGTGTGTGTGTGTGTGTGTGTGTGTGTGTGTGTGTGTGTGTGTGTGTGTGTGTGTGCTTTTTCCGCCCCCTATATGTAAAAATAACTAAAAGTAAAAAGGGGGTAGCCCGTACCACCAGGAGGTATAACGGGCTCAAGCCAATCTAACATAAATGAAGAGGGGAAACTTCCCAAATTTTTATTTTTATTTGAAAAAGCCAATTAGTTAAAAAAAATAACATGGGTAAAACCTAGTGAGTGCAGCATGAAACTGTAATAAATAAACTAGTTAGCTTCTCAGGAATGAGCAGGTCGATATGCAGCAGCAGTGTATTTCCCCCACTTGAGTTTTTGGAGTTCGTGTGTGTGTGTGTGTGTGCGTGTGTGTGTGTGTGTGTGTGTTGCGTGTGTTTGTGTGTGTTTGTGTGTGTGTGTGTGTTTATTTTAAATGCATTGTCGTTGAATGCAGAAAGTCCAAAAACAGACAACGAAGTGGGATGCGAGCCAGTGGTCTTGAGGATGGGTAAACGTTGACGAGGATGGTAGCAGTGGCCTCTGTGATGTCGAAGCCCATTTCTTCACTAGGAGTCATGTAGCCAGGCACGTCGGGCTGTCGTTCCAACCAGCGATGCAGCAGGGAACCTTGGGCAGCCTGTTTGCCGCTGCGAACTTAGACAAGGCGCCATTCGCAATAGTAACAAGTTTTTTTAAAAAAAGGGGGGGGGGGGATTAGGTACTTGCGCAAGCGTTGCGAATCCTATGGTTCGAGTACTTAGGGAAAATGGAGCAGTGATGCTATCGTTATCAGTCGCCGAGGTTTTCCCCCACCTTTGTTGGCATAACTGCGACTGTAATCGAGAGCACTCACGCAAAAGTTGTGATAGGGAGGTGATTCGGAGTATGAAGCGACGCCCTGATAAAGTGTTGGTAGCTAATGCGTGTCATGTGGATGTCATAGAAACAGAGTTGCGCATGACAGTCACTAACTGAAGTAGATACGCGCGAGATTTTCTATTGGTCAATAGCCCATAATAATGCGCAGGTAGTGTTGTATCACTTTTGGGCACACGTAAATGGGTCACAATGTGTTGCGTGTTCGGGCATTCATTAAAGTAGTGTTGTTCGTTCAAGCAAGGTGCACCGCACATACACCTGTCCGATGCAGTTATATTGAATCGATGAAGATAATACTGAAAGTGTCCGTGACCAGATAATAAGTGTGTTAGGTTTTTAGGAGGCGGGAACCATTGAGGAATTTTGTACGGACTTGTGATCCAATGAAATAGCGTTGTCTCAGGTCCCTCAGTCTGCCAATGGGTGTGCCAATATGAATTCAAGATTTTATGAAACTGAGTTCGTACTGACCGAATAGATATTTTGGCGTAACGCACGAAGCCTGATTTCCCTCCTAATGCAGCTGCAGCGTCAGCTAGCTCATTTCCCAAAATTCCCATATGGCCAGGTACATGAAACATTTTTATAATTTTGCCTGACGAGATTATATGGTTAAGAAGCAGCTTAATGTTCCGAATTCTTTCATCGTTATCAGTGAGACTTGAAAGCTTCATTAGAAGCGATAGACAGTCTGTGTAAATGTGGGCTGGCGTGTTAAAGTTGTTTGTAAAAATGAAATGAAGGGCTTCTTGGAATGCTATTAATTCCGTGTCGTATGCGCTTGAAGCGTTGCGGATCTGAAATTTTCTAACAGTTATGATTTTTCCATCCTTTGTCAAAGCAATATATGCCGCACCCGCCGCGTAGGACGTGTATGAGCCGTCAGTGTATACGTGAATGGCTTTTGTTTTGAAAATAACCGCTTCTTGTGATGGTGAGAGTTTAGTGAAAGTAAATTTATATTTTTTACTGGGGTGATGAGCCCACGGACTGCATGGATATAGTATGTCAGCCGGTTTGAATGTTTTTACACCATAATAAGTTACGTTCCGGAGTATAAATAAGGAAAATTCTGCAGATTGTCTGTCCAACTCTAGTGGTAACGGAGGCGCGTTAGCGAGAATCTGTAGGGATGACGTACGTGTGGTGTAAAATGCACCTGTTAAGGAAATTAAGACGGTTCGCTGAACTGATAAAACTCGCGCCCTAATGAATTTTGATGGGAACATAGGCCACCATACCGGAGATGCATACGTGAGAGAGGGCAATATCACTTGACGGTAGAGTTGTCTAATGAGTGTACTTTTTAATGAACGGTGCGATTTAACAAATGCGAGGAGCCGGGACGTGGACACTTCAGCCTTTCCTTTAATATAGTCAATGTGGGCATGAAAATTTAAAGAGGGGTCAAATAATACGCCTAGAATCTTAATTTCTTTCTTGTGTTTGAGAAAAATGCCATCCATGCGGATAGATGGGCAGCGTTTTGATGTACCCATGTGTCCGTTAATAAAGAACACGAAGAACGACTTCTCGGCGCTTACGGTAACTTTTTGTTCTCGTGCCCAACTAGATACCAAAGCCAGGACATGCTCAGCCTTTGCTTGTAATCGGAGTCTTGACTTATCTGTGATAACAATGATGGTATCATCCGCGTACGCCTGTATGTGTACGTCGGGTGGCACGGGAAGATTGAGTAAGCTGTATATTACTATGTTCCACAGTAGCGGACTGATAGGGGATCCTTGCGGGCTGCCAATCGTTGTACGAACTGTCTCTTCTGCAACGTTGGTTGAAAAAGTTACAGTGCGGTTCGATAAAAAGGATTTGAGTAGAAAGTACAAGTTTTGTGGACACCTGTGCTTGCGTAAAAAGTTCAAGACTGCAGGATGCCAAACACTATCGAATGCTCCTACAAAATCAAGAGATATGAGTATGGTAGGAAGTTTGGCTGCCTTGTATGCAGCCAATTTGCTTCGCAGTGTGTATAGTGCTAAAGTAGCACTTTTATTGTACGTAAAACCGTATTGATTATTGTGAAGAAGATTATTATTGTGCAGGAAATAATACAGACGAGCATTTAAGAGTCTTTCTAATACTTTACTGAATACAGAGTTCATAACTATTGGTCTATATGCATTAGGCGAATTGAGCGGACGTCCTGGCTTTGGTATGAGTAATGTAGAAAATGGGGCTAGGGGGGGGGGGGGGGGGGGGGGGTATTGCATAGAATTTCATACAATAATATCTAGAGGGGAATCTGGCACTAGTGTCTACGCGGGCTCCTTCAGTGGCGCTTGTACACTTATAGGAATTATGGGAAGTACAGGCCTTGGATCTGCTTCGGATGCATTACACCCTTCAGATTCGCGACGCTTCTTTTCCGAGTGTAAAACAGTGTGATATGAACCTATATTGCATTGAAACTTATTTCACTTATTCGTACACAAACTTTGTGTGTGTGTGTGTGTGTGTGTGTGTGTGTGTGTGTGTGTGTGTGTGTGTGTGTGTGTGTGTGTGTGTGTGTGTGTGTGTGTGTGTGTGTGTGTGTGTGTGTGTGTGTCCACGCACACTTACAAACACATAGAAGGCACGCATAAGCTATGATTTCAAATTCCACCTTTGATAAAGTTGGGGCAGCCACGCACAAGTCTTACAAGCATTGAGGAAACAGCGGAACTGGTCACCTTCCCTAGCACGCCTGAAACCTCAAGCTCACTTCCCTCCTCCACTCACCACCACTTAACTCTCAATACAAGGCTATGCTATTCCATAACCATTTCCCCCCTTCACTTATTCTTCACCCTAGCATGACTCCTTCTAAACCACACTTTGCTCTCCACGTTTTTGCCATACTAAGCCACATTTGATCTATCAAAAGTACTACTATTTGCATATCATATTCACCCAGCTTGTGGTCAGTCAAGTGGAGACGTGGTCCTAGTTCAACGGGCTGCTGCTCATCTATTATGTCTGTTTATGTCATTAGAGAAACGATGAACACGGACGATGAATCCATTTATCGTCTGTGTTTATCGCATACCTTAGCAGCGCCTTTTCATAATAACGAAGGATTTCAAGTAATGTAGAAAATGGGGCTAGGGGGGGGGGGGGGGGTATTGCATAGAATTTCATACAATAATATCTAGAGGGGAATCTGGCACTAGTGTCTACGCGGGTTCCTTCAGTGGCGCTTGTACACTTATAGGAATTATGGGAAGTACAGGCCTTGGATCTGCTTCGGATGCATTACACCCTTCAGATTCGCGACGCTTCTTTTCCGAGTGTAAAACAATGTGATATGAACCTATATTGCATTGAAACTTATTTCACTTATTCGTACACAAACTTTATTGCAAAAGGTTTTCGTTACGAGGCGACAAAAGTGAAACCTGGGCAAAGTTAACCACCAGGGTATGCATCGCTCTGCCATTGCGTTTCAGATTTGGCATTAAGATTTAATGAAATATTCTTTACAACACTTGAAAACAAGCATGCTTCTTTTTCTCTCGAAAGTACGCATTATCTATTTACGGAAATACCAGTAGAGTATTAAGTGAGAAACACTTAACGTTTCGTCTTCTGCGACGCTAGGTGCATCTTTCCAAGTGCTCTGCCCCCAACACACCTCCGGTTCTGTTACGAGACCGAGTCAGTGAAGCTTCACGGTGCGTCTACTTAGCTTCGTCACCGTTTTTCAGTCGACTTAAGTAAGTTTAGGCAAGGCGCGCTCGTGAAAAAAACATGAATTTGACGCGATATCCTGCACTGACATGGAACGCTACATCCACACGCAGCGG